ATTTGGTTTAGGTGAAAACAGTGAGTCAGTGTTAAATTTTGAGGTAAGTAATAAAATAAAAAATAAAGTTTTAACTGCTTGTCTCACCTAAATCATATAATTATCCATTAATATTTTACTTAGTATAGGTAAATAAAACAAATTGATTAATGAAAATGACCACAAGTTTCAATTTTAAAATTTAATAAGGGGCTCAGGTTAACTCTTTTATTGTCACAAACTCTAACACTAACTTTTTGTTCTGACCTCACCCAGTCAATGGTTTTAAGAACTTGGTAGTTTGAGAACTACAATTTTCTTCATTTTGCCGAGATCGATCCCAGGGTCGGTTGAAAGGAAATTTCCTCAAGGCCCCGTCAAGGAATAGCGTGTGGTTATTTGAAAGGAACGAAATGCTTAGGTCCCATGTCCACATTAATGCGCACGTAAAAGAACCCTTGAAGGTTTGAGTTTGAAATGGAGACAAAATGTCTTTCATAGCACACCATAAATGGCGTAGGCTCATCTTCATTAGCCCAGTTGTTTGAGTGTCATTTTGTAATTTGACATATCAAATAGAACATTTATAGAATTCGTTTAATAGGAGCAATGACCGTTCCTATATTTACCTTTACACTAATTATTAATGTATCACACATGCTGTAAATAATGTTAACAAGTCAACCTTTAAACATATAAGGCTTCTTTCCTAATTATCACTTGTTGGAAGTAAGGTGTTTATTATTGTACATACCTATATTAATACCTTCTAACCTGTATCTATTTTTGTGCTTCTTTGAGCGACATTTAGTAATTGACACATCAGGTAATAAAGCAAAAAAGACACTTCATTGAGGGTACTCTCAACATTATCAATCATTTGCATTACTTAAAGTATGTGCAGGGGAACCGCATCACACGTAAAACAAAACCAATAAGACAAACCTGCGGACAAGATAAACTACACAGACATTGCAAGAAATAAACAACAAAAATAATGGGAGTAAATGGATGCAGGGGCCAGCTGCCTGTAAATATACAGGATTCGAACTCAAAATAAAAAAAAGAAAAAGAGAATTGATTTAGAAGAAAGGCGTAATGTGACCTGTCTTGACCATGGTGGTCATCTTCTAACGTTGACGTTATGAGTGAGACAGTTGTGTTCCATTTTATGTTTTTGTGCCTGATAATGAAAGTTTTGTGTAGGTATCATGTAAGTTTAGAAAAATAATACTGTAAATTATTTTATAAATATCATTAACTGGTAATTGTTTATTTTTGGAACGCGATAATTTTAATGTTGAATGTCTTTAGAGACATAACTCCGACAAAAGAATTAAAATGTGGAAGATTTTTTTTTCAGAAATATTCCAGATGAGACAGAAATTAGAGCTGAAAAACTATTATTATTAAAGTTTTTTTTAATGTTATTTAAATTTCTAAGTGGAAAAGAAAAATTTCTGATAGTGGGTATATATAGGGTGGAGGAGTACTGATAAAAATTGATGTGATTTTGAAAGTTATAGTTGTAAAAGACATCTTGTGATGTAAATAAAAATATTTTCTTTTTGAATCAGAACATACACTGTATATATAAAGAAAAATTCAGAGATAGTGTTTTTAAAAAATAAAAATAGCAGTACACAATTTTTATAAAGCTGGTTTGAATTATGACATTTTTCCCGGAATTGCTCAGGAATTAGCATGTATTAAAGGATTTATAAAATAAAAGTACATCTACTAAAGTGTAAAATAGATTTAAATAATTGAGAAATTTAATAGAAAACAGTATATCATTAGGAAGGTTAACATTGCAAAGAAATCAAGAAAAATCTTTCTGAATTGGTGTTCAGAAAGTAAACTTCAATTTTAAAACAGGAAAAAACATTTATAGTTTGAAAAAAGAGGAGTTAAATTTATTTTAAAAATAATGTACATTCCTGTAGACATCTTCCTAAACTATTTTAAGTCGTGTGATCGTCTCACATCTTTTTGATACATACGAGAAAAATGCTGGGGACTTAACTCTGTCTAAGATAACAAATATTTATTCTAAGACTGGCAAAAGAAGGGATAGAAGCGGAGAAAATTAGAAATAAAGCCGAAAGCTTAGCCAATGGATAAGACAGAACAAGTTTAGAAAGCAAGCAAGCTAAAAACTCGTAATTAGAGGATTATTCTTTACGCGGTAGCGTGTGCCTCATTACGAGAAGGATTATGGGAAGGATTAAATCTAGTTAGGTCAGTATCGCTCAAATCTTCCAGTCGTGAATAAAATCGTATCGCCACGACAACTTATAACTCAATGTGTTCATTTCCACTGTTTGTTCCTTGGATTTATCTTTCGATGTAAAATCCTGTTTTATTTCGGAGAGTGTTAGCATATCTGATTGTAAGAGTTGGCTGTGATTAAGGTTTGAAAGAAACGATTGTGAAACAGCTAATCTGCAGAATACATTTCAAGTTTTTGTTACTTTGAAGGATTTTATGTTTTGAGTGGAAGCCAGTTTTATCTTTGGGTGTGATGTGAAGTGATGGGAAGAATTTTAAAGTCGTTTTTGTGATTATTTTTTTCTGATTTGTTGTGGATTAATGAAATTAATGAAGATCCTTTTCACAAGAGATTTTTTTTGTATACATGTACATGTATACCAGTACATGTATTAAAAGAATGCAGAAGTTTTTAGTACATGTATAAATAAAGCATCTTTTACCATTATTTGAAGAAATCTGTAATATGTAATGGTATTTCAGCATACATCTTATGAAATATACTCTCATCATTGTGAATATTTAAAAAAAAATATCCAAAGGAAACATTAATGGAATCTATGCTTTTTAATTCATGCTTAATAATTCTCTGATTCTGAAACCTATGCTGTACTTTTCAAGTTGTGTCATTTTAAAGAGTTGCCAATCCAATATATATATATATATTTATTTATGCACAGTTTAATAATAAGGTTTTTATTTTATGACTTCCTTATGTAACACCTTTACTTGTTGTTCAAAAGAACATTAGCCCATTTACTGTGGAATATTGGAAGGACCAATTAAACTGGACTATAACATGCCGTGCCATATAGATAGATATTATGCTAATTTATTCACCATGATGTGTAAGAGGCTTTATCCTATTGCAGACTGATGTTCTGCTTTATAAAAGATATTATAAAAGATGATTTTCACGAACTTCTCTCATTATGAAAGAATCATCTCAAGACTCAATTAGTCAGCAGTAAATCTTTGAAATTGAATCTGATTGGATGAATGTAAATGAAGTATGAATAAACCTTTGAAAGTCAAAAACTTTACGTAGCTTAGAGAACTTTTTTCGGAAATCTTAATTATATACTGATTTATCGGTTTTATGGAATAATTTGGCGTGTGTTTAATTTAGAGAAAGTATCGTGACTTTCGGTAACTGGGTTTCAGAAGCAATTGGATTATTAAATAGTGTGCCAGTACGAAAAAATTATATCTCTGACTTGAAGACTTGACTTTAAAAAAGGAATGAGAATCTTATTCATTTGTTAGTCAGTGGGGCGTGTGGCTTCTGTTTTAATCAAAACACTGAAGTTGATGAAGATTACTCTTATGAGGCATTTACATTCCTCAGAAACTATTATTAGGATTTGACGGTGATGTGTATTTTTCATAAAAATTGTTGATCATCCAGACCAAAAGACAATGGATTTTCTTCGTCTGCACATGACTGGATGTCTAAGAAGTAATTTAAACAATTATTTTTTTTATTATTATTTTTCTCTGTGATATATTTAAATTGATCATTTGCAGTGTTTATTGATGAATTTAGAATTCTAAAAAGTTTGAAATTACAATAGTTTCATATAGCTTCCTAGAAGTTTTTGTAGAGAAATTTGAATAGTAACAATATTATAAATCTTGGTTTGAAGCCAGTTTGCAGAGGAGGTCTCATGTATAAATTTAGCTTAAGAACATCAAGTCTTTAAAGCCAGTTTTAAAGATATCTCATTTATAAATTTAGCTTAGAAACATAAAGTATTTACATTTTAGAAGGAATAATTAAATATTATGGAAATGGTATTAGAAATAATTGTATTAAACATGGAAAAACATCAAAGTAAACAAGGAACATTTTATGATTAGTTTAACTAGCTTATCTTAGCTTCTCAAAGTTAGTCGGTGTACAGAACTAATTTCTGTATCGTTAATTTTCTTTCGTAATTATTTCCAATTTGGCTATTTCAGTATCACCATTACCCTTATCGAGCACCCCCTGTAGATTCAAATTTTTCTTCTCGCTAATAATTTTCTGTGCTTGATTATTAGAAAAGTTTTGATGAAGTAATAATAATAATATTTAAGCTTACATACCAGTGTGAAAATTTATTTTTTGTTCATTTTATTTTGATATTTGGGAAAAGATGAGAAGATTGTAAAATTTGTGCTTGAATATTTTCATGTTTGATAATTCAATGTTTGTCTGACCTAAAAAGTTGTTGATTGATGCTTTAAAAGTGCTAATTTTGATTTCTACAAGGAAGCCAGTTTTTTTTTTTGAAATTAACAGGGTTGCAGGTGCAGCTCCCTGGCCCCCTCTATATCAACTAATACATTTCTTATGCAAGACTTGTGGTTTATAAAAAAAAAACAATTATGTTAGAATACGGATACTTTGATGTTGATAACTTGATAGTGGACTCAAACATCGGTTAACTTGGGACATGTTTTCTTTGAATTTAAATTATTTGTTGCCAACACCCAAGATAAAATATTGTATTCAAAAGATTGCTATACTTTTCTTTTGACATCACACAATTACAGAAATTTGGTGAAACCAATGCATTTTCAACATTTTTATTTTCAAATTTGGGTTATAACTTATAGCATGAGTTAAGAGTGTTTTTTAGCAATGGTGTTTGTGTTAAACCATTTCTTTGGGTCACTATTACTTTAAAGTAGGCCTGTTTGCCTAATTTATATTTCCTAAAATTTAATGATAAATAAATAATGTTTTGAATATTTGTATTTTTCAGATGCAAAGTCACTACCAATACATTGTGTTATAGAGCAGATTAACGGAGTTCCATCATTTGATAATACTTCTAGTCTAACAGCAGTTCCAGATAACATTGAATTAGACAGCTACGCCATTTTACCTAACTCTACACTATTACAGGATTTAGTCCGAGCAGCACTTCTTAAACTTGGCTACAGTTCTGTTGATGCAATCAACGCTAAAGGTATGTATTGGATATTCACTTATCATTTTTTTTGACATGAAATATAACTTCTGTGATCAATGGGAAAACAGAATTTATATGAAAAAATATGTTAGAGGTTCCCCTTCCAAATATTATTACTTTAGAACACAATATAGTACAACTTCATTTAGTAATTACATATTAACACAAGGTACAATTTTATGGATACATAATTACTGAGTTTAATACTGGAAGCAATTGTACAATGCTAAGGCTATTCCCTAAAAAACAAATCTTTGTGAAAAGACATTTAATGTACCCTTGTGGCAGTTTCATTGAATAAATGCATGTCCAAACTAGATTGTTAGTTAAAAATCTGTAAATAGGCGAACAGCCTTCCCAGATTTCTCCCACTTTATTGTTTACCCCATACTAGATTGTGTCAAATTTATGGTCAATTCATTGATCCATTACCCAAATTGTGTCATTTATATATATATACGAAAAAAACACCTTTTCTTATAGAATTAAAAGGTGAGAGAGAGAGACAGGGTTTGACGTCCACTCGACACAAACTAGGTCATTTCGGGACTAACATATGGTTCAATTTTATTTCAATAATTCGCTTGTATGTAAGGCTTTTTAGCAGTGGGAGGACACAGAGAAAACCCACGAGGTTGGACATGCTACCCTACTCCTTATATCACGTACAAGCGGGGCATCGAAACCATGCCAGTTGACTCAATGACAGACCCTATGATACAATGAGCACCCGCTAACCATCGGGTCATCCACTACACAATAGTTCAGTATTACATGTACATTCATTCTGCCATCCTCCCATCTTCATTACCATGGTTGGTTCCAAACCGTAGGATGTTAAATCCCATTTCATCCAACATTTTTGACTGGAAATTAATAATCTTTAAATGCCAACTTCTATTGATTTTAAAACATTTAATTTTTCATCCCTCAAAACAAATCAAGATATAAAATCCAACGAATTGGTCATTTGTATTTTTGAAAGCCGTCTAGATCAAACTTGAACATTGAATTTTTGGTGGGTTTTTTTTACACAGTGATGAAAATTTTTTTTTTAATATTTTTGAAACATTATATTTTCAGGTGCAATACAGATTAAGAAATGGAAACCTCTATGTTTTGATTCTATTTCCGATAATACTCAGGCTACCATAGAAGATATACTTGGTGAATTAACGAACGTCGCTACATTACGTATTAGATTAGCCAGGTGAGTAGCATTATCTCCCTTTTCGTACTGTGATCTACCCCCTTACAGTGCTGCTTATTGTCCACAAACCAGGAGGACCCATATTGTTAACCATTTAATGCCCGTAATTTGCTATTTACTTCCTTTATGGTACTGAAAGATCATAAGTCCAGGATTAAAGGGTTAAACATGATTTTATTGATTTTCATAAACATTATGAATGTTTATAGTGATTTATATGTAACAAATTTGATAAATACACAACCCATGCTCTCAAATTATTGAAGATCACATCAGGTTTGTGACAGATTGGTTTTAACTGAACCAGGAATAATTTTAACTTAAAGTTAGTATTACTGGTTGCTGTATCGTCAATTTCTCATAGCTGATTGATTACATGTGTAACTACAGTTTTAACACAACTATCACTTGACAATCAACTAAATAAATAAGAATAGAAACTTATATGGAATATTTTAATTTTATCTGTTATACATGTATTCTGTTTACCAATTTAAAGGATTGTCTACAATGTAGATACATAGTTCTGTGGAATACAATTACTGTTTAGGCCTGTAACTGAGGGATGTTGCTTGGTAAAAACTAGGGAATCCTAGTCCAAACATTGCTCAAAATAAACAGTAGCCTAATAATAAACAGTAGCCTACATGTACATGTAATTGTGTTCCAAAATAATACACAGTGGCCTAATTGTGTTCCATAATAGTAAACAGTAGCCTAATTGCATTCTATAATAATAAACAGTAGCTTAGTTGTGTTCCATAATAATAAACAGTAACCTGATTGTGTTCCAAAATAATAAACAGTAGCCAAATTGTGTACTATAATAATAATAAGTAGTGTAATTGTGTTCCATAATAATAAACAGTAGCCTAATCATGTACTATAATAATAGACAGTAGCCAAATTGTGTTCCATAATAATAAACAGTAGGATAATTGTATTCATTAGAATTCTGTCCTATGTATATCCAGTTTAATTACTAAATACTATTAAAGAAATTTTGGGTTGGGTAGACTAGGTTGAAAATGCTACAAATTTTATCTATGTGGATGGTTGATCTTGAAAAAATTGGATTCTGTTTGTGGAAGAGGCCTTGTGTACAAGTTCTAATAATAGTGGGCTTCTGACCTTCTCTTACCTCAAGGTCTTACATGAGATAGACTATATTATTATATCAAATAGAAACACATCAAATTGATCTGTGAAGAATTAGGGTTTTGATAGTACATGATAGTTTTTACTGAATACAAGACAAGCCGCGTAGTAATTATCAGTACGAATTCCAGTGTTTTCATTTTAAATTTTGTATTTTTGTCTTTTCTTCTGAAAATTATAAGCTTAGAATTAGTCAATAAAACAGAATCATACATGGGTAACCATTCATATGAAAATCTTGACAATATTACATTACATTTCCCCACTTTGCCACACTGCACCTTAATCTGTACACTTTTCTGGGTACTTGCTTTAACGCACCTTATAAACGTGCTAATGTAAAACTTACGTGTGACGCTTTTTCTGTGTTTTTTAGTCAATCGAGGCAAACGAGTACCGATGACGTAAAAGAGAAATTATTACAACTTTTATTGACCCAGTCACAGAGTCTGCTTAATGATTCCGGTTGTCCTATAGAAAAGGTATGTATGTCTGGATGATTTTATTTTATATTTGATTAACAAGACTGTTATGAAAAAGTCAACTCTTGACATCAATGTTGTTTAACATTCCTGGATTGTGCCTCTTGATTAAAATGACATTGCAGTATTGAAGTCTGTGAATATAAATGTAAATTTAAGTAAAAAAAAGAAAAAAAGAAAAGATTTTCAATCATTTTTTGATCAAAGGGGGGTAATTCTGTTGGGAATAAATCATTGTGAGGTAGCAAATTCAGTAGGAGTTTTATTGCTTTATTATAGTCATCAGTAAAACTATAGTTTGGATTATGTGCCCTTGTACTGTCAAATGCTGTTTGTTTTCGTTTAACAGAATCTGACTTTAAATTCATCTCTGTATTCAAACAATACATAATACATGTATATCGAGGCCATTAGTTCGCTGTAATGTCTTCCAGTTGGTGCTGATGTGCTATTTCCTTCTTTTTTTGGTTAATTGAAGCAATGGAAGGCCCCATAGGAAGGTGCCATTTCTGTACATGTAGATTAGATTTTGCCTGAAATAATTAAGGAATTAACATTTATAGAAATAACTTTGCTTTGAAATTGAGAAAATAATTAAAAATAATCACATGTTTGAATGATCAGTGACCTGGCAATATTTTCAATCCTGTTTGCAAGTCAGCTTATATCAATTTTATTTTTTTGTTTTCATTTCAGAATATCTTGGCCTCTCTATCAAAGGGAGAGAACTTGTCTGAGTGTTTAGCAGAAGGCCTATCTGACGAGATGAGGGGAGCATTCGATAAATGGTACAGCGAACAACTAAACAGGTCCAACAAATCACTACCTCTTGATATGAAGAGTTCCACTTCTGTCAAAAAGGAAACCACGAAAGAAGAAGTCACCAGTCCAGTAGAAAATGACCAATCAGATTCCAGTCCTTCATATCGTAATTTTCTGTCTCATAAAACAAGAATTCGGACAAGTTTTGATCCGGAATACGAAATTTCTCGATTACAGAAATGGTTCCAAGAAAATCAGCATCCGTCACGTGATCAAATGATTGGCTACATGAATCAGTTGAATAAACTTGAATCACGTAAAGGTCGACGACCCCTGGACCTCACAAATATCATATATTGGTTTAAAAATGCCCGAGCTGCACAACGCCGTGCTTCAAAAGCTATGGACGACTCATTTGAAAATGAAGAAAACACAGATAGCAACATCGGGGACAACATCCCCTACTTACCAAATAAAAATGCAGTCTACGTTATTCCATTTCCTTATCATCGAGCTGTAAATTCACTGGATAATCATATCGATGAGCCATGCGACTTGTCCATGAATAAACGGAGCAGCTGTAAAGACATGGAAGATGAGACTACCTTACGCAGAGAAAGTTCCGAAGACCCCCAAGACGAGGTTTACGAAAATGGAACAACAGATAGTGCAATATTTGAAAATGAAAAACAACCGATCAGACATACAGAAAAAGTTTCTAGTGACTTTATGTTTAACGGGCTGTCCAAATCGCAAAATACCCCAAATTCTCATTCTAAAGACCTGTCCGTTGTTAAATCGGAGCCGAATATAAGTAGTGAGAAAATTGATACTATAACGAATGGGAATACCAGCCATACAAATTCTAAATCTGTCTCCGATAATGATCATTTTGATAGTGCCAGTAAAGAGAGAATGCGTCGTGACATGTCAGATGATGACAGCGATGACTCGGATGCCAGTTCTGATTCAAGTGACGAACAGAAACTTTGTATAAAAGAAGAAAAAGATGAAGTCAATGATTATTCCAGTATGTCATATAATGCCGTCTCGACTGCCAACATGTCACCTGCCAGTATTGCTGCCATGTCATTGGCACAGATGTCACAGCCGTTACATATACCTCAACTCCCCCCTCATCTAGCCATGGCATACTACCCGATGAATGCACGATATTATATGCAGCACGCAAACAGCCTACAACAACACTCCCCTCAACCTCCATCCTCACATCATCGTGAATCATCGCACAAAAACAGCGACAGCAGGAAAAGACGAACACGTGTCTTTATCGACCCTTTAACAGAGATACCCCAGTTGGAGAAATGGTTTGAAGAAGATACACACCCATCTGCCTACATGATTGATAAATATTGTGAAGAACTGAATCGAACAGACTATCGTCAAAAATTTCCTCGATTGGAATCCAAAAATATTCAACTTTGGTTTAAAAACCATCGAGCGAAAGTAAAGAGGATGAGATTATCCTAAGGTTCCGCAATCAGCAAATTTGTATTGTTTTACTAAAATACTTGATGACAGTTAAACTTCCTGTAGACATGATCAGCCAGTTTGGAAGTGAAGTGTGCAATTTCCAGAAACATAAAAAATGACATGACTGTTCAGATATGTCATCATACATGTATTGTGCAATTTTAGTATTTGATTAAAACTCTGTTAAACAAAAGTTGAAAGAATAATCATGTGATTTTTTTAAGTTGCAGCCAATCAGAATCTGCATATAAAATCACATGGATTTGAGTAAGAATGTGAGCGATAGCCTTATAGAAATACTGGATAACAGAGACATTAATTTTTAGTCAGATGGGATACCAGGGATATTGTGATTATGAAAACTGGAAAACAGAGACAAAAATACAATGAACAATTTATACTTAATATTTGTGTAGTCATTAATAATAACAGGGACATAATTGCTAATATAGATAATGTACTCAATTCACATTGGAACACAGGGACAAATTTACTAATACTATAGTCAGACTGGATAACAGGGAAAATGTAGCTACCGGTATATTGTTTGTTATAGTAGAAATATATGACATCGTGTAATATTAGGCCTTGGACCTAACCTAGTCATTTATTTATGTTTTTTCTTTAAGAAAATTTACTTTACTCTGTTCTGTTATTGGAAAACACAGCAAGGGGTCATTGCAATTATTAGGGTTTCCTGTTTTTTAGATTTTTTTTTTGTGTTAATTTTTGTTAAAGATATATTTATGTAACTCGGAAAAAATAACATTACTGCATTGTCTGTTAATAATATTTTTGAAAGATTTGATGATAAATAACTTAACCAAATTTGTCACAGCTTACAATTAGATATTTCACTTTCATCCCTTTGAAAATATGAATTAAAACAATACACATTTGAAAGGAAAAAGCACTTTATATTTGATTAAATGGAGTGATACATTTTACAAAATATTGTGGTTTTGTACAAAAATATTACACATTATGGCAGATTGGTGTAGATCTAAACCAACATTTTGTTTTGCAACACTGTGATTCTTGATTGGAAGGGAAATAACCCCTGTGAGGAAATAACTCTATTATACAAAGTAGAACAAAATTTTC